TTCCCCTTATTTGTTTAAATAGAACCATACTGGGGGTGTTTTAGCCGTCCAATCAGAAGCACGGATATTTTTTTGCCCCAATAATAAATCAGCGGATTGAAGGCAACCCCGTCTAAAAAGTAGATATTAAATGACAAATTTCAATTCATTAACCGTTCTAAAAGTACATCGACGACTCCAAAATTCCTGTTGAACCGTTTAAATTTGTTGACTAACCTAATCAACGGACAAAAAAAATATTTTTGCAGGTATTAGAGCGATGACTATTTCCATTTACATGCGCTAACCTGCACTATGGCGAGTATGAATCTTTGTGGACACTTTCCATCTAAAGTAGTAGTAGTTTTCCGTCTCAATGTTCATTGCAAAACATAATATACGTTTTTAAGTAAGTGGTTTTAAGTTAATTTTTGTCTTCTTCTACGTAACTTTCTGGTTTTGTTTTTGTCTGAAATCCTGCGAGTGATACAATACGTTATTATAATATATTGCTGGTAATGTGTCACAAGTAACTATAGCTTGGTTCTGAGATCCCTAAATTACTTTCCTCAACTTATTTGATTTATTTATCTATCCCGTGTAAGATGAAAGGAATAAATAGCCGGCATGTCTTACCCGTCTCTAGTCGGTTGACGTCGCTTGTTGATGTCGTTGGTGGATCTGGCGGTCGAAAAAGAACAATAATAATTGACATCTTTCAGGTTCACACTTTTCGTCCCGTTCAACTTTTTCTTGTGTAGAATAATTAGAGGGGGGGGGGGGGGGGGGGGGGGGGGGGGGAGTGGGTGGTGACTAGAATAACATATTAAGCCGCTTGTGGAATATTTGACAAATCACTCCCTAGCTCTGGATAAATAGTATTTCCTAATATGAACGGAGCCCTACCGCGCGGGAAGCGGGCCCCACAGGCAATAAATTTTTGTTATCTATGCAACTAATATGTTTTACTGCGACCTAAATTTAATCGTCCCTACGAACGTACGTTGGTCCATACTTCATGTCTGGTGGATTTCAAATGTCACACTTGCAAACAGTGCGTTTATGGCATATGTGATGATGGTTTATTGGCCATTTTAAAAATTGGGTATTCGCTGACCAGTGTCATAAATATGTCTGTATCTAGAGCTCATGGCTTTGAATTGATCACCGGATCAGGTACATTTTTAGGAGGAATAGAACTGACTTTTTGCTTATGGCAAATTTTGAGTTACTGCTGAAAGACTTTTCGAATAAGATCCTACGGGAGCTTTGGTTTTTTGCCTTGCTAAAATCTATGTATTATAAAATTGTATGCCCAACCTTGAATTTCTGCTGCTCGTGTTCCAGTGGCTGAAAAACAAAGGACAAAGCAATTCAAAGGATGGATACATTAAAATACAAAACAAATCTTTTATCATAGCCATGTTTTAGTTATTAAGCAGAGACACAAGTATATAACCCCGAAGCGTTGAACTTCCCCTTACGTGTTTAAATAGAACCATACTAATTTTTTTCAATGAGATTGTGAGGGCAGCCTCTAGTACGAACGCTTGTGAGTTGACTGAGTAGTTTGTTCTAAAACTGTAAGATCTTCACCTTTCATGAGACCTTTGTAATCCCTTCTGGAGCTAAATCAAGCACGAAATTTCTCAAGGTCCAAAGTGCACGTCCCAGATCTGGAAGTCTGCTGTGTTTGGTCTACGTTTTTTCCCGCTCAAATCAGCAGACGTTAGTGGGGCAGGAACGCGTGACGAACCCCAAAGAACGTCTGCGTGGGAAGCTAGTCTTACCATTTTCTAGGGTGGTGACTAGAATAACATATTAAGCCGCTTGTGGGATGTTTAACAAATTATTCCCAAGCACTGGATAACTAGTATTTGTTAATATTAACTGAGCCCTACAGCTCCGGAAGCGGGCACCATACGCAATACATCATTTTTGTAATCTATGCAACTAAGATGTTTTATTGCGACCAAAATTTAATAGTCCACTGACGCACTTTGTAATAAAATTGTCTCACTTTGTAACACCTGTCGCACTTTGTAATAACACTTATCGCATTTTGAAATAAACTTGAAATGGATAGTCGGAGAACAAGTAAACCCAATAATAAGTATCATCACTGACAACAACAACAACAACAACAACAACAATAATAATAATAATGACAATAATAATAATACGTGTTCACATCAACTACGGCCCTCCGGCTTCAAGATCTTTCTAGGGAAGTACAACTCTTTATATGCGGACGACCTCGATAGAGAGATAGTGTCTATAACAGCGAGAGCCCGTTAACATGGGAGTTTGTATTGGAATTTTATGTAATTAATTGTTCATAAAAAGAAAGGAAGGTGTCCTTCAGGCGAAACGTGATTGTATAAGCAAAATATTTTCAAAGTTTTACTAGTAGCACATGCAACTAGTTTTCGTTACCTGCGAGGTATAAAGGTACAGAGATATTACTTGATTTGTATTTATTGCCATGAATAAGCGCTATACTAGTATTTCATACAATCAAATGAAAAGCACAAACTCAGAGCACAACACGGTTCCACAATCATTGTCATCACCATCATTACCATCATCATCTTTATCAACATCATCATTATTGTTACTAATCAGTATTAGTAAAATCCAACTAGTGGTCTGTTATCAATGCTACGTTCTGATTGGTTGAGCTACTACTAGGCTATATGTAATAGCCCACTAGTAGCGAAAAACGCCGACTTTTTGGCGGCTAAAAAGGAGTAAAGTCTAGCTTTAAGTAGTTAGTTGGATTTTACTTAAACAATTATTCCTCTCGCCCTCACGGCCTCTGAGTCAATAGTCCATTCGGCCTTCGGCGTCATGGGCTATTGACTCAGAGCATTCGGCCCATTCGGGCTCGAGGAATAACAGGGACCGCGCAGAGGGAGGGGCTGGGGGGGCTTTAGCCCCCCCACTTTTTTGCAAGAATAAAAATAAATTAGACAAGAAATAATTTAACAAAAGTAACGGAGTGAAAAATAGCAAAAAATCGTTAATTCGAAAGTGACCAGAGTTACTGGCAAAGACAAACGCGCAGATAGATAGACAGAATGATGCGTTAGTCGTTACAATTGTAAAATATTTTTTCCCTTCTAACCTAGCAGAGGTAAACGTCTTTTAAATGGCTTCTTTTTCCTGCGGACCTCTCAGGAAAACGCGTTGTTTCGTAATTGGTCAATTTCGATCCAAAGTAATAACAGGGTTTAGTTTATAAGGCGATTCTCAAACAAATTGTTTATTAGTTTCAACCTTGATTTTTGGAAGATCATGAAGTTATTGTTTCTCTTGTTATTGTGCGTCCTGATTTTAGCTCGATCAGCGCGAAGTCCGTCTTTTGATGTCTTTTGATGTACAGTAACTTTAATATCATTCACTAAATTATTTTCAGTTACCGGTTTGTTTTGCCGGTGTAAATATTTTGAATGAATAACTAAACAATTATTGAACTCGGCTTTCGTATGATATGAAGATATACAGCTCTCGGAGGGTGTTATCCACCGGGCTCAAGCCTTCGGCTTTGGCGGATAACCCCCTCGATCTGCATAACTCTTCATATCATACTCAGCCTCGTGCAATAATTGCTCAGTAATTATACAGCCTTGAGTTCAAGGCAGCTCAAGCAAAATCGTTGGATTTCTGGCTTATTTATAGTAATTAAAGGTTGATATCAGTAGTATAACATAACAATCTATGATATTTCAATTTAGTGATGGTGAATTTTCAGACCCGATAGCAACATCACTGANTTCTTTAGCCCCCCCCCCCCCTCACTCGAAAACTTGCTGCGCGGTCCCTGAATAATGGTTAATTAGCGCACTAACACGTCCTTTAAAACGTTGTATATTACTTCATTGTGCCACGATGACTACTACTAATTTTGTTAGTGTAATTCAGGCTTTTTAATGGTTGATATATTTGAGAAAAAAATATTTATTTTATAATGACTAACTGGCAGAATTTTTAATTTTCAACAGTGATAATTTATCTCGGAATTTTATTACTTGCGTTTTTTTTTGCTCTCTAACATCTTTTTAAGCACAGATCAATTTTTCAATGACGATTACCTCGATTTATGAGGGTTTCAAGTAAAATGGAGTACACTTAATTAATTTAAAATGGGGGATTCAAGATGGCGGATGGTTTCCGACTCTTCTTTAACAATGGATGACGTCATCATGATATCGCTGCTATTCTTGATTTTGTCAGACACCTTACAATTTGAGTTTTTTGCTTCGAGGGAAAAATCATAGAATTGGATTTTGCCAATACATTCATCAAATTATGTCATTGTGTCAACACATCATGCCTTGCTGTTTGAAATTAAGAGCACATTATGTGGTGGCCCTCTAATGAGCGGCCTGAATAATCATCAGCATCATCTTAACTTGTTATCGATGATGATACTTATTATTGGTTTACTTGTCCTCCGACCATCCATTTCAAGTTTATTACAAAGTGCGACAAGTATTATTACAAAGTGCGAGAGGTATTGCAAAGTACGACATTATAATTGTATCGTCCCTTCGAACGTACGTTGGTCCATACTTTATGTCTGGCGGATGTCAACTTGCAAACATGGAGTTTAAGGCATATGTTATGGTTTATTGACCATTTAAAAATTGGGTATCCGCTGACCAGTGTCATAAATACGACTGTATCTAGGGCTATTGGCTTTCACTTGTTCGCAGGCTCTAATACTTGTAAAATTTGATTGGTTCTAAAAAAGACAACATTGGACCACAGGATACGCTTCAGGGTTATATGCTTCTGACAGAGAAGAATAATTACATATTTGATCAGTAAATACTTACGCAGTGCTTGTTTATTTTAAAAGTAAATTTTGCTAGTTGAGTCCTTAAAAATGTCAGACAGAGCTGTAGTATTAAAGATTTATGAAAGCTAAGGCCACTACAGTTATATTTTTGGACAGTTTATATTTGATGCGGTCATTAAAAAACACTGAAAAATGTTTGATTGTTAAAATGATTACCTTCATCGATTTTTTCCAGCGTTGTTTGCCTCAGGACTTTCCTTGCCACTAAAAAACAACTTTTATTCACTCTTTTGTCCAATTCGGGGCACAAAAATTTTTGTTGTGCCTTTTTAATACCTGCAAAAACGAAAAAAAGGAAGAATTAACCATTACTACAAGTATTACTTTTAATCAAGTTTAAAAGGTACCAGTAAGGAAAACAGAGCACTACATATCCATTTCGTGTAGCAATCACCTATCTGCTGGTGCCGACCGTGTCACGTCAACTGGTCATAACATGAAATGGGACCATTTCGGACACCCAATGCAGGATAAAGCATACTATGCTGAGCAGTGAAAAACATTATCTTTTGTGTGCATGCTCTTTCTCTTATATGCATTTTCCAACCATTTGTGACATTTTCTTCCTTTAATTCGTTACCTATTTTAAATTTAAGTTCCTGTCGTCATTCAAAGGTTTATTACTTCTAAATATGTATGTTGGAATATAAGAAACGTCAAATAAAGTTCTTTTTTCTTTCCAGAAATGCATATACATTTTCTTATATTTATCAACGCAATTTGCCTTTTGCTTTTATTACGAGGGCTGCAAGAATTGTTCTGAGGGATAGTAATCTTACTCACCATCAACTGATACAGTGAAACCTCTATTAAGCGGACCCCCAATTAAGCGGACACTAAGCTGGGTCCCGAAACGAACATCTGATATTTCCCTTTATAACAAACCCCCCTATTCAGCGGATACCTCTATTAAGCGGACGCGGACACCAAAATAAGTTGTATTTGGTTAATTTATATTGTTATAAACCTCTATTAAGGGGACACCGGACTGAATTGATATTTATCGGCAATTTAAACTCTTGACTCGGAAAATACCGTTTTATAAAGGTGTCATTGCCATCACCATCATCCCTATCATCATCATTTTTAACATCCGTCATCATCATTAATATCATTATTGAATTATTAATTTGTGTATCTGTCGTGTAGTGTATTGCATAAATCTACTAGATATTACACGTTATTTAGGTTACCAACCAATTCCATACGTCTCTAAGCGTTCCCTGATATATGAGACATTTGTGCTGGTCGTTCTTTGACCCAAAACCTCTCCCCTCACCGCTACTGCCTCCCCCACTTTCTTGGAATTAACATTGCTCCTTATAAATGTTTCCGCCTGAAAACAAATTGTAAATTAAAAAAAAGAATAGTAAACGGGTAACGTATTCATTGTCCACCTTTCCCTTAGGTGATACAGCAAGATCTCATAATATGTCTTATCACTTTTATGCTGATGATACACATTTTTAAGTATCTTTTGAAACGTCATCGCCTGAGGATATGTCAACATGTAAATCTGCTATTGAAGACTGCATTAAAGATATTGACCTTTGAATGTTAGAAAATAAACTGAAACTGAACAGTGGGAGGACTCAAATTATAGTATTTTCATCCTCCTATCTCCCACGTCTTGTGTTAAATAACCTGGTAATTGCTTATGACATTCAGTTGACTTTTCCAATATTTGTAAAAATATTAGGGTTATTTTCAATAACTCTCTATCGATGGTTCCGCATGTTACTACTGTATGCAAGTCTCACGATACATGCAAAACTCTAATTCATGCCTTTATTACTGCATGGATCGATTATTGTAAGTCGTTACTCTACGGTCAAGCAAAATGTATCTTAAGACGTTTGCAGTGTGTCCTAAATAGTACTGCTAGGCTTATTTACCCTACTAGTAGACATGAACATATTACGCCGTTGCTTATTCTGGTTGGTTACCTATTGAACATGAGATATCTTTCAAAATTACGGTGATTACATTTAAGGCTCTTCATGGTGCTGCACCTAACTATCACTGATCTTGTCAAGCCTTATAGACATGGTAGAGTCTTACATCCCCTAATCAATTGTTAATTTCTACACCTAAATTTTATCTTAAGACTTATGGTGGCCAGTCGTTTACTTTTGCTACACCGTCTGTTTGGAAAGCACTTCCATTCGAGCTTAGATTTTGTAATTCCCTTTTTTCTTTTAAATCTAAGCTTAAGGCTTGAGTTTTTAAAGTTTCTTATGGTGTAGGCTTATAGAATGATCATGTTTTATAGAACGATGATGTAGTTTTACAGGATTTTAATTTAGTTTTTGATAGGGGTATCTCTCTATGTAATCTAATTTTTATTATGTAAAGCGCTTTTGGACCATTGGTAATTAGCGCTTTATAAATATTGTATTATTATTATTATTAAGAACGATGGGTTGGGCTCGATTTATGTAACGGAGCGAGGCTGTGCCGCGCTGATCTTGAAAATGGAATGTCACGTCTCAAAAACGTTCTCTGCCACTCTTTGGTATAGTGTGAACATGTTTTAGGAGCACAGCAGAAGTGAATACGTTGACAATAGGACTGGAACCCACTTAGAGGGGAATATAGATTATTTTAGGAGAGAGGATTGGGATTTAAAGAACCAAACTCTCTCAGCCAACAGGTGAATGAACGACTTTCTCCAGTTGTGTTCCGTTGCGGTTTACTATAAAGGTTTACTTATACTGTAAACATCACCCAGCCATGAGGTGGTTCTGTTCGTATTTTTAAAAAAGCTCTTTTAAATACCTACACGTCGAAAGATTTTTCCCACCCCTTCATATACTTCCACTCGTGAAATTCCTAACCTTTCATATAATTGAAGCCTGAAAAACGGTTCCCCTTGGGGAAGCTCCCATATAAGCCAGTACAGACTTTCAAACACAGGGTCACGTGTGGTACCTGATGGCGAAGCACAAGCGCTTGTTATACATACCTCCTTTGCCGTAACCCCTTGAACGGACTCTTCTAATATTTCTTCCAGACGTCTTATGAATTCTTCCATATTCTACTTCTAAAACGACATTATTATGAGTACATTTACGCCGAATACGGTCGACACATGAATATGTGATAAATGCGTGGGGCTGAACGGAAATCTTACCAAAACGAATATTGTTTTTTTCCTTGTACTGATGAAAGTTTTAAAAGAACGAAGGTGGCTCTGTCAACCCATCTCCCTGATTAAATACGTCCTCGTAGTTCAATGAATTATACAAGCATCTCGCTCCATTCTAGTGACATTTATATTTTTTCGATTCTTATGTTAAACATTCGAACATACATCATGGTTTATTAGCAGGTTTTGGAAAACTGAATAATTTGTTCATTCATTTTCAACCATTAATAATTCTAAATCTTACTGTTAAAGATTAATAGTTTGGTTTATACCTACCAGAAATCCGGTGTCTTCAAAAATGATATTAAGAAGGTGATGTAGAAGGTAAAGTAGAAGGTGAGGTAAGATGTATCGAAGTAGGAGCTGAAGTAAGGTGTATCAAGCAAACGATGAAAAGCTCTGAGATCCTAGATAGCTGAATTTCGCACTTTCGTACGGAATACCAAGACCCATATTTGCATCCCAATTACACATCCCAATTTTCCCAACAGACCGTATTCAACATACCCGCCCTCTTAGTTCACACTTATGGACTGATGGGATAAAAGCGATGTCAGGCAGTTCTCAGGGGCAAGATGTTATAAAATTTGCACCACAAATAATTGCGGTCAAGTTTTTGTTTACTCGAGACAACGGAATAGAATGATTTACTTGACCCGTGAAATAGGTAGTAGAATGCTGTGCACTATCATGCACTAATTCCATTGTCTTCTTTTTTTTGTCTGTTGCTATTATCCACTAGTTGTTAGTATCTGTTTCACGGGTCAAGTTAAATCACTCTAGACAACAACGACAAATTATGGGTGATCATTGTTACTTTTTTGAATGTGGAGAGCAGCAAGCAATAATGACGTAACCCTTGACAGCTTGTATAACTATTAAGGTTGTCCGTGGGTCATTCGTCCATTTAATTTTCAGTTAAAAATTGAAAATTGAAAATCGACTTCAATTTTTGATTTTCCAATTTTTCTTCCTACATAATGGATAAACATGTTTCATAATTGTTTTACCGTTTTCCCCTGTAGACAAAAATGAGAAAATAAACACACAGCTCTTACTTTTTACAATCAATATTAAAACCGTTATCGAACCACGGATATTTTAGCTATTCGCGTGAAAACCGTTTCCGCAGTCATCTGTTAACTACAATGACTTGAATTTGGAGAAAAAATTAAAAATTGAATGTTGCGATCAATTTTGGACGAAGAATTGATCAATCGATCACGCTCTTAGTGACAAAAGTACCCAGAGGGGACGACCCAAGTGCAGAAGTGCCTAGGAGGAGTGGGGCGGGGGGGAAAGGGAGACGGGACTGAAGTAGGGTGGAACATGGGGAAGGGCCTTGCAAATGTCCGCCATCTTTAATATCGGATACGTCCTGGGAACGAGCCTTAGGAAAGAAGCGGGGAAGACAGCGGGAAATACAACTTTGGAGTGCTGTTTCAGCCTAAATATGGACGCCGTAAACGTCGATTTCGTGAGAGATCTTGTTCTGACGAAGGGAAAAACACATTCACAAGTTAGTTTGTTGCTAGAAGAAGCACATACTGAAAAGAGAGGCTTAAGTTCGCGGTCCGTTAGAAGGTTTTGCCTAGAAAATGGAATACACGCGCAAAATCGGCTGTCAAACGAAGAGCTGGAACACTACACGAAAGAAGTTGTTGCTCGGGTGGGTATTTTTGCTTGAAAATTTTTTTTTCCTGTAAGGAAAAATATGGTTGAATTAAGAAATTTTTTATAAAGTAACATCATGGATGTATATTATTCGGAGAAACGTTGTCAGTACCACACGTAAACCGTTCATCGCCAACCTTCACAATCTTTTCAAGGCTACCGGTCCATAAAGACACCCTGTTCAAGGCGCTAAATAGTTAAATTGTATAACCTGTTTAAGACTCAAGACCCGGAACCACACCCCGTTCATCGCCACGTATCCTTCTAGGCCAAATAAAGGACTGCGCCCCTAAGGGGGGCGATGAAATCCTCATTCTATTCCAAATCAACATTGATCAACATTGGCATTTGAGTTACCAAAAACTGCCTTTTTCTTCAGGAAATGTGTCTTCACCCTTTCTTGTTTGTTTCTGTTTTAACTTTGGTTGTATTTTTGTTGCCGCATTTTTCTGATTGGTGCGGGTAGCTACGCCTATAATGCAAGGGGATATAAAACACTCATAGGCGCATGCGTATCAAGCTTTGGGTTGCAATTTTGAGTTAACAATGACAGATTTTTGAGATTTTCGCTCCTTTTATGGTCTTTATTATCGTTTAAGGTAAAGTACCTCTATTATTTGAGAAACCAAAAGGTTGGGATTACCGATGCCTGGCTAGATCATCCACCGCGAAATTCAAATCTTCGTAAGCCATCGTGGCGTAACGAGTGCCTACTCATTGAGAATAGGGTGTGAAGAAAATATACCGTAACAAGAGCCATAATAGGACAGAGAGGGAGCCTCCCAGTCACGCCTTTGGGATATCTTAATTTCAAACAAGTTGTTTTTAGAACTATGCGGACCATGCGAAAACAGTTTCCGGTAAAGTGGTTGACTTCCGGAATATTCAGCGCGCCAAAGCGAGGCGGTGTCAACAAATGAAAAAAATGGGGGCTTGAGGGGAGAAATCAAAGAACTGGCTAAACTTCTACACAAACGGTTCCTTTACAAGCAAAGGTAGAAATACAGTTAAAGCGACTGCGTGTCCATCGTTTTTGTTCGAACAGCTGGAAAAAGGACGAGTAGTATTGAGGCCCGGATAAGTGTTGAACACAAAATGGCGGGTCCTCCAATGACGACCGTACGAGCGACTGTGTGGACGTATTTTCTGTTGACACCCGAGGGAGGGAAAAAACCTATAAAGGGTTCAAGTATTTTTCTCAAGGAAATGACCAGGAATCTTGGGAACACACATTTTCCTGCTTGACTCATATTTTGTTCCGCACTTCACATTGGACTATTAACAATTTAAAAGCACTTATTCTTTGAACACGAGGTGAATAGAAGCTGAATATTCGCGGCGAGGTTAATAATACTAAAACCACTATTAACTGAGATTGGAAAGAATCGGCTCAACAAAATCAGTAAGGAAACCTTTCAAGTTGAATTTGTTGGATCAATTCATGTGTGAATATCGGTATGCGAAAAAGTTTGATCTTTACAGAATCTTTGCAGAATTTTCAAACATTGCAAGTCAAATCGCACTTAAAAAATCTTTTCGCAATAGTCTAATGGGTTGTATGGAATCGCCAGAAGTTTAAATTGTGCTTCCCAGCCTGTTTCTTGTGCAGCTTGTGCTGTCCTTCGTAAGTGCAAAATGGTGGCCCGGTTGCTCGAGGTAAGGCGCCGTTGTTTCTCTGTAGTTTTCTCTGTCGTGTTTAATTGGAATTTCGAGTTTTCGTAAAGATTTGCTTGTTAAGGAGTATTTTCGTTGTGTTAATAGGTTTCGACCAATCACAACAGTTGCAAACAATAGCCAAAAAAAGTTAATTTCACGTTCTTCACATGGGATATCTGTTTTATTCAGAGTCATACAAGATTTTATTATAAGGATTCACATACATGGTCCTTTGATAAGTTTTCTTGAAACCCACCAGAAGTGTAGCACAGACAATAGTAAGGTGAGCACCCTTTTGCATTTCAACATGTTAAACCATGGAATTTACTGAAATATTAATGTTGCATCGTAATGGTCTTGAAGCCGAGTCTGCAGGCAAAACAAGTTTGCGTAATCTTTCGCTTTTAAGGCATCCGCCATGACACCCCAATCTTTCCCTTTAAATAATCTAAACCCACACGTTCGCCTGGACAATGATTTATCAGGCCTTGTGCCTGGACCTCTTGATTATAGGTCAAGTTTCTTTAGAAAAGTCATTTTAAAAGTGTGGGACCCAGGTGAGTTAATCAATTTATGCAGATGGGTTGAGAGAGACATTCTGAAGCAATAAAACATAGTGTGTGACAATCAATGTTTCTAATTGTATTCATGCCATGGCTTGAAAGCGGTAATGTTAAGGACAGCATCTAGAAGGATACAAATATTAATATCAATGTAGTGTGTATAATAGCCTGTGTCACTCAGTTAGTCACACTCTTCCTAGTATTCCTCCAATTTCAAATCCCAAATGCATCGGCAGCCACATATTTTAACAAAATTATCAAAAATAAATAAATAAGTGCTCCCTTGCCCCAAAATATAGAATCTGCACTGTTTGTCAAACTTGTGCGTTGTTTTACCCACTATCAGTTTCGTGGCAAGGTCATGAGACATCTGAAAAGACAACTTATGATTGCTAGTATTATTGTTCTTTCAATTCAACCTGTCAGAATCAACAGAAAAGTTTTCAGACAGTGAAAGACATACAACATAAAAATGATGTACTATGAAACTTTCACATGTTGTACTTGATATTAAATCTTCGGGTTGGGGGGGGACGGGGTCAGCCTTGCATATGGATTCAGTTCTTCCCTTCTTCTGTGCTGGCACCCTCACTCATCCTTTTTTTGACAATAAGTTATTTTTTTGCATATAAGGTGGTTATAAATAATATTTAACAATTATTCCACGAGGGCGCGTTGGATATGAGATGATGGATAGCCAACTCGGCGCTACGCGCCTCGTTGGCTATAATCATCTCATATCCAACAAGCGCGAGTCGAATAATTGTTTTATTAAAAACGCCCACAAATTCTCGTTGAATCTCCCCGACTAGAACAAACCGGAAAAGACAAGGAACTTTCGCTATTCACATGTCACACGTCTATCAAAACTGTCAACGCGCGAAAGGACTCGCCTGGACTGCATGAATGAAAAATCAAAACATTGTAGCGATGAACATTAGTTTTTTAAAAACTCATCGGGATTCTAAGATTTAACACAGCAGAACAGCTAAA